TTATGAATGTTCAATGTTTATTTTTTAAATAAAAATTTAGAGGAAATTCCAGTGAAAAGAAAGGACTTTAAAAATATTACCAGTGACCTTTAGACAAGAAAACTATTAAGTTATAATACATTATTATTATCACATACCATTGTTGGCAAACTTTATTCCCAAAATCAGCATCATGCGCTTCTTACCATAATGAAATCTCCTGGATTTATTTTTGTTAAATTGACAACTGGAGACAGTGAAGCTTTTCATCAGGTTCCCAGAATTGCCATAAATTCCAGCATTGTTTCCTCAGCCTAAATCTAGCCCAATCAGGATCCAAAGCACAAATGTAATTATTTCTATATTTATGGGTGATCAATTATATCACAATTAAAACCTAACTTTTTTTCAATTTTGGGATTTAATTTTCATTAGCCATGTAGATTTCATATTTATCTTTCAAAGAAATCCACTGTAACATATAATAATTAACTTTCTCCCAGATTGAGAATTTATTGAAAGTTATTTAAGATGAAATATAAGACTGTTTAAAAAAAATAAAACCTGACTCCTAAAATTTAAAGAAAAATAACATTTAAAATAACTCCTTAGGGGCTGCCTGGGTGGCTCAGTCAGTTAAGCATCTGCCTTCAGCTCCATCTTAAGATCAAGGCCCCCCATCAGGCTCCCTGCTCAGTGGGGAGTCTGCAGCTCCTTCTGCCTCTGCTACTCCCCCAGCCTGTGTTCTCTCTCTCTAATATATAAATCTTAAAAAAAAACAAAACTCTTTAGAGGTGTTTGGTTGGCTTAGTTGGTGGAGCATGTGACTCTTGATCTCAGTGTTGTAAGTTTGAGCCCTACATCTGGTGTAGAGATTACTTAAAAATAAAATCCTAAAAACTAGTAACTCTTTAGTGCCTGGTGCAATTTTTATTTTATTTTTATTTTTTTATTTTTAAAAATATTTTATTTATTTATGGGAGACAGAGAGGCAGAGACACAGGCAGAGGGAAAATCAGGCTCTACGCGGGGAGCCTGATGTGGGACTCAATCCCGGGACTCCAGGATCATGCCCAGGGCCAGAGGTGGTGCTGAACCACTGAGCCACCCAGGGATCCCCCTGGTGCAATTTTTAGGTGAGTGTAAACATCATCCACTCAAGCAGCTACTGACTAGAGTCCCGGTAAATATCCACTGACAATTTCAAAGACATTATCAACTGACAACCAGAAGAGAATAAGACATATCAACTTTGATATGTATTCAGAATCCCCTATATAATTAAGTATTGAGTTTTCCCATCAATGAGCCTTTGTGGAAGGCACTGAGAAACTACAATTCTTATTACTCTTCTCATTTATGGTATGGCTGGAGAGATGTTAGATTTGTAAAAATATAATAGCAAAAATTTAGAAAAATCAATGTTGGAAAAAAAAAAGTTAAATTAACCATTAAATATCATGTCATAGAAAAATGTCATTGGAAAACTGAGTTGGTATCAGTTAAAGTGATACCGATTCAATTTGATTTTTAAAAATGTATGTACAGGGATCCCTGGGTGGCGCAGCGGTTTGGCACCTGCCTTTGGCCCAGGGTGCGATCCTGGAGACCTGGGATCGAATCCCACGTCGGGCTCCTGGTGCATGGAGCCTGCTTCTCCCTCTGCCTATGTCTCTGCCTCTCTGTGTGTGTGTGTGTGACTATCATAAATAAATAAAAATTTTAAAAATGTATGTACATTATTGTGATTTGTTTTATAAAAGCAAAGTATATGTAGGGAAGAGAAAAAAATACTAGAAACATACACACCAGTTGTACAACAGTGGTTGTGCTGGAATGGGAAGAATTTGCAATTTATCTTTTTGACTTCTATATAGATCAAATATTTTTGCAACACTTTTGTAATCAGAGTACAAATATTAGATTTTATTTGAGAGAGAGTGAGCACGTGCAGGGGGAGGGGCAGAGGGAGAAAGAATCTCGAGACTTCATGTTGAGTGTGGAGCCTCACTCAGGGCTGAATCTCAACACCCTGAGATCACGACCTGAGCCAAAACCAAGAGTCAGCTGCTCAACCAACTGAGCCACCCAGGCGCCCCCAGAGTACAAATATTTTAAAGAAGAATTCCACGGGATACCTGGGTGGCTCAGTGGTTGAGCTTCTGCCTTCAGCCCAGCGCGTGATCCTGGAGTCCTGGGATCAAGTCCCACATCGGGCTCCCTGCATGGAGCCCTCTCTCTCTCATTTATTTATTCTTCATTTTAAGAATAAATAAAATCTTTAAAAAAATAATGTGAGAAAGTAAGACAAATTTGTAATGATAATATGTTAGAACTATTGATAGTGTTTGTTTTTTGTGAGTTTTCTTTTACATACAGGCTCCCTTAGCATAAGACAGAGACTATAAAAATGAGAGCTATGTTATTCTTTCCTTTCAGACTTATCATACCCTAAAAGGAAAAAACCTACTCAAAAACAAGGGGGCCCCTTGATGCTAATCTTACAGATATAAATGAAATTTTAAGTTATACTAAATATGAACATAAAAGTCACTGCATCGGCTGCAACTATAGAGTAATGAAAAAGAAGGAAACAACCCAGGAACAGAGGCACGTTGATTTATTATGTAAATAAGGACCAGATATTACAAAAGAACAATCCTTTTGCCAATGCATGAGGTTGCCTAGGAAGTGAGTTCTTCCAGAGTAACAGAAATAAAGAATGCTATATTATATTAAAAACCAAAGTGAAGGTGGAATGCTGAATCGCTTTTGGGAAAAAACCTATTGTATTGCCTTATTGTATAGAATACAAGTTTCTTTTACTGAAATTTAAACTTATGTTCAATGAAGTATCTGTGGAACTTCTTAAAAGCTATATTTTAACATTTTGTAGAGTTTACTGTTTACTTGAAATAAAATTCTAATTAAAGTATTAAAAAAGTAACATGTATAATTTTCAAGCTTAAGATGGCAAGGTATGAATTGTAGTGTATAAATAATTATAGTTATGTATATTTGACTATTCAGCTAGTACATCCTTATAGTAATATATTTAAATACTGTATTAAAAGTTGGAAGAGGGGATCCCTGGGTGGCTCAGCGGTTTAGCGCCACCTTTAGCCCAGGGCATGATCCTGGAGTCCCAGGATCAAGTCCCAAATTAGGCTCCTTGCATGGAGTCTGCTTCTCCCTCTGACTGTGTCTCTGCCTGTGTGTGTGTGTGTGTGTGTGTCTCATGAATAAATAAAATCTTTAAAAAAATAAAAGTTGAAAGAACTGGGGAGCCTGGGTGGCTCAGTTGGCTAAGTGTCTCCCTTTGGATCAGGTCATGATCCCAGAGTCCTGGGGTCAAGACCTGTGTCTGACTCACTGCTCAGTGGGAAGTCTGCCTTCTTCTCCCTCTGCCCCACCCCCTGCCCTGCTCGTGCTCACTCACTCTCTCTCGAATAAGTAAAACCTTTTAAAAAAAAAATTGAAAGACCCAAGACTGTCCCCTCTCAAAATCAGTGGTAAAGTCACGTTACTAGTTTCTTATGTTATCTTTCCCAAAATATTCTAGGGGCATATATGTGTAAGCACCTGCTGCCACATCTCACCCCCAGATGTTACCTACTATTCCTATATTTTTCTACTTAGCAATGTAACTTGAACATCATTCCAAACAGCTCATAGCTATTTCTTGTCCTTTATAATAGCTGCATAATACTCCATTTAACTCCATTCCTCTTAATAAACATTTGGATTGTTTCAACATATTAGCTATTAGAAATCATATCTTTGTACAATCACCTCTGTGTATATCCATAGGCTATTTGTTAGGATGAGGATTTTTAGAATTAAGTGGATACAGAGTTAATGTTTTTGAAGAGATTACTCTTCAAAAGAAGATTGTACCAATTTATATATACTTTGAGGTGTTTTCTTTGTTGGGCTAGGTCAATGTGCTATTAGTGTTTTTATGAAATGTAATTGTGAGAAGAGACATAATTGACATAGAACTTTCATAACAATTTATTAGCAATCCAAAGAATCATCTGCCATGAATCAATCCTATTTCTCTATAACTAAAGTAATTCAAAGAATGGGATGTGAAGACATGAGTTCAAGTCCTAGCTTTGGCACTTAAGATCTGTGTGATTTTGAGCAGGTTATTTGGTCCTTTTAAGCCTTGATATGTCTTTGCAAAAGGGGGCAATAATAGTGCCTACCTAACAGAATTAGGAAGATTAGTGTACAGAATGAGTATTGAAGAGACTGACAGGAGTACGTGCTTGATAACTCAGTGGATGACCTGAGTGATTAACACACAACAAGAGCATTATCTATGTCTATTTGAAAAAAAAAAACAAAAAGATATCAAATAATGAACTAATTATTTTCTCAGAGTCTTTCAATTCAGAAGAATATAGCATCTTCATCTGAACCCCTCACAGTCATGAATGTGAATTTCTGGGCAGAATTTAGTATGGAACACAATTCATTTACAATCAGACTCAAACTCAGAAAATATGAAGTTCTAATTGAAGAAGAACTTCAGAGGTGCCTGGCTGGCTCAGTCAACTGTCTGATTCTTGATTTTGGCTCAGGTCATGATCTCAAGGTTATGAGATCAAGCCCTACACTGGGTTGGGAGTGAAGTCTACTTAAGCTTCTCTCTTTCGTCTCCTCTTCCCACCCAAGAAAAAAATTTTTAAAGAAAAATAAACAAGAGAACCTCAATAATAGGGAGATTTGGGTTTATGAGATTGCAATATAATCCAAATTTCTCTAATCTCAGAACAAGCAAATTTCTAAGATAGCATTATAATAATGGTGGCTGGTAATTTATAAACACTCTTAACTTGAGAATGGCTATAAAGAACCAAGTGTAAAACTTCAATGTTGCAGCTGATTTCAAGCATTCCTTTTAATGGATTTTATGTACTAAAAGTATGATCACCTCAAATCTCTATAAATAGGAAATTGAAACATGTTCACTTTGATACATCAAAAAATATTAAAATAGGCACCGCAAAATGTACTTGTGGTTAAAGGTCAAATTTATTAGAAGATTAAGAGATGTATTATACCTGGACTATAAATACTGCACAGCTGACTTTATTCACAGTCAAGCACAGAGATATAGTCAGTGCCAACCTATTTTGTGGATACTCTTGTTCTCTTGTTCCAAGAAAAATTTGCACCATAAGACTTGGACTTGGGTTTTGGAACCTTCCTCTCTTCAATGTCATAGCTCCACCCTACAAAACAAAAACAAACCCAAAGAAACACAATTAGAGATATCTCAAGAGCACAGCAAGTAGAAGCTAACTTTCATAAATTTAATGTTCATTTATTATGAAGAGTATGTGTCAGCACATCTGAAATATACTTAATGTTTTCCCTTATAATCCTGTGACAAGAGAGTCCAAAATATTGCCTGAAGATGATTTATTGTATCTCAAAACTGTCACCCATGATGTGACTTCTCCTTGTTCAATATTCCTTGTTCAATTACTTATGGTTATGTATTTATGTAAAATTTTCTATTTCTCTATGTGGTATAATATGCATCCTCTTTAATAACTGCAGTGCAGAGCATTGAGCAATATAATCTGTCTCACTGTTTTCTAAAAGCTCATGTTTTCACAACAGTTTGGATCTCACTCAAAGCAATACAGGAAAGTGTACATGGTTATATACATATCTATGTACATAAATAATGGATTCGGAGCATTAAAAGATTACTTGGTCTAGCTCTTTGGACTTTGGCAGGCTACTGATTAAATTCAAGAACTTTTTCAGCATTTGTATCAAGGGCTATCTATTTAGAATCCCATGGAAATACTTGATAACAACGCAAATTCTTTGTCCTGATCAAAGGCTCGCTGGATCTAACACCTTTTTTTTTTTTTAAATTTATTTATGATAGTCACATAGAGAAAGAGAGAGGCAGAGACACAGGCAGAGGGAGAAGACACAGGCTCCATGCACCGGGAGCCTGACGTGGGACTCGATCCCGGGTCTCCAGGATCGCGCCATGGACCAAAGGCAGGCGCTAAACCGCTGCACCACCCAGGGATCCCAGGCTCACTGGATCTAATTTCTGGTACGGGCTTGAGAATCTGTACTTCAACTACTGATGCTAGATTTTTATGCATAGAGGTTGAGAACTACTGGCCTAAACGATCTATTCTCTTCTGAGAGTCTTTGTATCTTCTCTCCAAAGCCCTTCTTATTGTTTTATGATTTTGAAAAGTAGATTTATTCATGTCCATGTCTTCTGCTTTAGCAGTTACTCCGTTCTTCTAAGTTATGGAGAACAACCCTTCAACTTCCTTCTCTTTGAAAATCATTCTATTCCCTAGTGCGAGCAACCTCCGTAACTTTTACTTTTCTTCATAAGATTCATTTTCCATTCCTGTAGTTTATCATTCTATCTGAGGATTTTCTTCAAATAACTCATCTTGAAACACTTGATTCATTACTGAATCATGCAGTCATGTAAAAATGTCCACCAAACTCAGTATTATATGTCTTATTAAGTAAACTTCTTGATCTTGTGAGTCATTCTAAGTTCTAGTGCCTCTTGGTCAGTACAGTATTTGCTGCCACAAAAACTTATATTTCAATAGCTCCCTACAATGCAATTTTGCCACCAAAGTGAAGCCTGTGAAAATCAAAGCATATTGCTACTGCTGCTTATTTTAGTGTCCAAAAAGAGAAGATAATTAATAATTCCATTGCCAAAACTCCATCTTCAAAGAAAATCCATGTGCTATAAGGAAATTGAGGCAGGAAAGCAAATGAAACAAATGGTTTAAAAATACAAACAAAACATCAGAATCCAGGAGACAATATATTGATTCAATTTACTTGCTTAAACACAGCCTTACTTTCATGGAGTAAAGTTTTGAGTACTTTCTAATCCATTAAAACAGAAAAAAATTAAAAAGCTGTCTCTTACTTTAGGAGGACCTGAACTTGTAAGTACATTAATAAGTGGCAAATAGCATTTCAAAAACTTTACTAATGGGCCTAAGAAAGTACCTACTTCATAGGTTGTCATGAGGATTAAACAACCTTGTTCATGTGAATGCTTAGAAAACACCTGGCCCTTAATCATTTATTGGGTTCTATGAAAAAGGTACTTTTCTAAAACCTTTATATGAACTAATATTATTTCCTTTATATAACTAAGGAAACTGAGGCACAGAGTGGTTAGGTAACTAGCACAAGCTCACTTGGCTAGGAAGGGACAGAATCAGGACTTATAAACAAAGACAATCTGGGGCGCCCAGGTGGCTCAGTTGGTTAAGCATTTGCCTTTGGCTCAGAGTCCTGGGATCAAACCCCACATGATGCTCTCTGCTTGGTGGGGAGTTTGCTTCTCCCCCTCCTTCTGTCTGCAGCTTCCCCTGCTTGGGTGCTCGTTCTCTCTCTCTCTCTCTCAAATAAATAAATAAATAAATACATACATACATACATACATACATACATACATACAAATCTTATTTAAAAAAAGGACAATCTGATTCCGGAGCTTCTGCCTTAACAATTGTGTCTCATGTGGTTTACAGCAAGCACTTGATAAATAAGCTATTCTTTCTGTCTCAAATTTGATTTGCAACTTTCTAGCAACATATCTTCTATATGAAGTGAAGCATTAATGTGAATAAAATTTCCATCACATTGGAACCCATTACTTTCGAATTAACTATAGAAAGGAATTTTGGTAAGCAAATTAATACTGTGAACTGAACATGATAACTTTAACATTATAAACTTCTCAAGCACCTCCTACATTAACCAACAAATGATGCTGCTAATTATAAAAAAAACTCAATTAAATAAAGCAGGTATAACAATATTTACTGAGCATTTGCTATTCATTTAATAAATATTATTAATTGCATACTGTATGTCAGGGACTGCTGAGACACCAGAGGTAAAGCTGTGAATAAATCCCCAAACTACTTCAAGTTAGCAGAAGAGAAACTGGTAAGTAGATGCATAGTATATTAGGTGTTAATATAGTAATATCTATGATTAAAAATACATAATTTATGCTAATGAGCACTAAAGAGAAAACACCTTAGAGTGGGTACACAGGGAAACCCACCCTCCTTGAGAAGGTCGCATTTGTCTGAACACCTGAAGGAGGTCAAACAGCCATGTGGATGTCTGGGAAAAGAGCTTGAGGCAGGAGCATATCTAGCATTCTATGTTGTTAAGTCTTCTGCTAAGTGCTTTAAATGTATTCTTAGGGGATCCCTGGGTGGCGCAGTGGTTTGGCGCCTGCCTTTGGCCCAGGGCGCGATCCTGGAGACCTGGGATCGAGTCCCACGTCGGGCTCCCGGTGCATGGAGCCTGCTTCTCCCTCTGCCTGTGTCTCTGCCTCTCTCTCTCTCTGTGACTATCATAAATTAAATAAATAAATAAATGTATTTTTACAGAATTTTAAAAGATCGTAGGTTGCCTGGTTTATAAAGTAGGCATTATATATACTCCAATTTTATATCTAATTATTAAGGAAAAATAAAGCACAGAGAAGGTAAATAAGCAGCCTAAAGCCACACAGCTAAGTGGCAAAGTCAGTGTTCTAACTGAGGTTGACTTTAAAATTATGGACCGAATCACGTCATAGTTTAAACTGCATTTCTTTAAATGCATCTTGTAATTGTAATTTTTATCTATTTCACCCATTTCCTTTCAATCTTTGTGATTTTTAACTGCCTCCCCCCCCCCCCCGTTTTTATAAATGTGTCTCAAGAATGCCTGGAAAGTAAGTCTATGTTCATCATATGTCCTCCCACTCCCACCCCAGTTGTGGAGGAAGGAAAAGGTTTCTAGTGCAGATGCTACGTCCTGTTATAATGATTGTTGCTAAGTTATCCAAGGCCTCCATGATCTCTTCTTGCCAAATGATGGGTGAGAGAATCTATGCTCCCTCCCTACCCCTGCTTCCCAATATATACTCTCCAGCCCAATAAAGACATTATAAGAGGAACTGAAGAAGAAATGAGGAAACACTTGGACATATTTAGGAATTGGTATTATACACAAATACATACCTGATACTCTCTCATTTACATGGTTAATCTTTCAACCACTGGGGAGAAAAAAATTTTTTTACTGCATCAGAATGCAGATGTAGCTCTATTATCTGTTTTGTTCATGGAGTTTCAAAATGCTGTCGGGGTCACTGCAATGTGAGATGACTGGGATTTTGTACACATAAAAGAACAACTGGTTTGGGTTTTCTCCTTTAACAAAGGAGTGGCCTGGCTCTTGGGAATTGTGAGCCAGATTATAGTTGCTGTTGATGGTGATAACAATAAATAGAAGTATCATTATAGGGACTGGAATGTGGACGGGAAAAACACAAACACGTGGAAGAAACTAACATTTGCTAAGAATACCCATCTCTATATTATTATTGCTCTACCACAGCCACCATGATTATTAGGATGTAGAGGGGGGAAAACCCTTTTTCTCGCATTTTTCTGTTAGAAACAACTTTGTTCCCAAAGCTGCACAACTAATACACTTCTCTGATTAAGTAAAAGAAGGGTATGAGGAAATCTAATGATAACTCACAAGAGACTGAAACTCAAGTCAGAGTCTACATAAATCTCCATTTGGATTTTGTATCACCGAGAAAACTTTTCTACTATGTAGGACTGATGCTAGGATGAAAATCTGCTCTTTTGAGGGGGGGTGGGAGGGTCCTCTATTACAAATCAGACCACATTTCCAAGCATTATTCTCCAAAGTATTTACCTTACAATGTGTAGATAAATTATTTTATTGGTCCCACTATACTTCATACTACATACAATCTTTCCCAAGTTATTTTTTCTAATATTGTGGCAATATACCGGCTACTGGAACAAGCAGTGAACTTTAGCTAAAAACACAAAATAACCATAAGAATAACAACACTTGAAAGGACTGCAAACATTTGTATTTAATGGATAAGTTACATGAATTATGCTTATTTTCTATTTCCTATTTGGAAGTTGTTCTTAAAAAGAACATAACCTGGAAGAAACAACATAAAAATTTAAGAATGGAATTTTATATGTAAAGTGTTAAGCTTCTATAAGAAATTTCTTTTCAACACTAAGAGCTTTTTTTAAAAAACTCAAACTTAAGTTTCTGTATTAGATCATGGAAGTGAAAACACTTGCATTCTCTGAAGAATGCTTATACAAAATCAAGGTGTAGTGTATGGCAGTGGTCCCAATATGTTGTTCTA